GAGTATTAAGGTCAAGGGGAGGAGCCATATTTCAAGGGGCAGAGGAGTGTATTGGTGGAAAGAAAACACAGGCAATAAGGACATCCATCTAGAGCAGTGCAGTCCAATAGAACTTTTGGCAGTGATGTTTCCATTACAGTAGCCACTATCCACGTGTGGTTGTTGAGCACTCAAGATGTGGCTAGTATGACTGAGGAGCTAAAATTCTAATTTTATTTAATTTTAGTTCATTTAAATTTAATTAGCCACACATAGTGGCTACTGTATTAGACAGGGCAATTCTAGATGTTTAGCATTTTGGGTGGGAAGGAGTAGGCTTTGGCACAGAGAAAGCCTTCTTGGAAAGGGAAGAAGTAAGAGAGACTGGAGAGAGATTGGGAGAAAAGTGGTTTGTTATTTCTCTGGTAGCTTCTGTTTTTCCCCATGGGCATGACTAGTGTGAGCATTGACAGAGACCTACAAGTCAGGGTAGCAGAGTGAAATTGGAACTGTAGTGCTAAATTCACTCTTTCATGTATGCTTGCAGAAGCCATCCTGTTACTTAAACCTGGACTAGCTATGGGGATGGGATCAATCATCAGAGCAAAGCACTTGGCCTCTTAACTCTTTCCCCTCTTGGTTTCTAAGAACCACAAGCTATGTTGGAACCCATTCTTCCATTCCTTGTTACCCTTGTTGGGATAAGGAACAAAATGTGGCTGGACCCCATGTTGCCTGATAGGTGGAACTGACCTGTTATGTTGGGCAGCCTTATCTTAGCCCCACTCCAGTCTCTTCCTTTCACGTGGTATTGGTTGAATACTCCCCATCTCCATGGGATTGTTCCCTAATTAATTGGGCATGGCTAAAAGGAACATCAGAACAAATGGGCTCTCTCCCTTGCTTTTTGTTTGTTTTGTTTTGCTGTTATCAGGGAACTAAGAACTTTAAACTAATGAGATAGTGTATGATCCAGAATTTTTGATCATTAGAGATAGCACAGTTAGAAGCTAAATACAAGATGAAGAGAACAATTGCATTTGTCTTTCTTATTTCATGCAGTTAGGGAACTCTGTGTTCTGGGATTTAGTCAGGCAATAAAATACTTCCACTCCTCTGTCTTTTTTTTTTTTTTTTTTTTTTTTAAAATTATGACCGGTAAGGGGATCTTAACTCTTGACTTGGTGTTGTCAGCACCACGCTCAGCCAGTGAGCGAACCGGCCATCCCTATATGGGATCCGAACCCGTGGCCTTGGTGTTATCAGCACCGCACTCTACCAAGTGAGCCACGGGCCGGCCCCCCACTCCTCTGTCTTTTTATTTCTCCTCTAAATGGAACAGAACCCTCACTGACTTGAGAGATAAGATCCTGATAACACCCTTCTTTCCCAAGACAGGAGTGGGAATCACACAGACTAACTTGGGTATAGATACTATCCAAGTTTAGGCTATACATGAAATCTATATGTAATATAACATGACAGTAGGATAGAAAGATGAGATTATACAAATTTGAATCCCTGCTATTTGTTAAGATGCCCCAATGAATAAGACCAGGTCCAACTGTAGGCCTCGTGGAGCTTATAGACTAGTACAGTGTTTTTCAATGCTGAACTCTTGTCATTTAGGGTAGGATAATTCTTGGATGTACAGAACAATCCTGTGTATTGCAGTCCCCTGCCCAGTAAATATCTGTAGGGCCTTCTAGTCATCATGACAATCAAAACTTATCCCCCACACATTTCCAAGTTCTCCCCTGGGGTGAGGGATTGGGAGGGGCAATACCACCCCTATTGAGAACCACTGGTTTAATGGGAAATGCCATTTAAAAAATTTGCCCTAATTCTGCTCTTTAATACAACTGATTATTTTTGGTCATTCTCTCCCAGGCTCTTTTTATACATATATTCTTTTGTTTTGATGGTGTACCTAAAAGGGGCAAGTATTGTTGGGACCATCCTGGCTCCCAGCTTCCTTGTGGAACTGAGGAAAACCTCAACCTGGAGGGCAAAGTGTCTGAGCAATGCCCACAGACACAGTTGATTTTAGGATAGAAAGTATCTTTTTCATATTGAGGTCCCAAGATCATTTTGAAACAGGCTGTAAAACATAGCAAGAAACTTATTTGTGAACTGATACTAGGAGTTAACCAGGAAAGAGTTTGGCTTTCCTGTCCCCAAACTTCTGTTACCACTGTGCTGTTCAGATGGATTTGAATTCTCCCTACTCCCTTCCTTCTTTAAGGTGTGCTCCAAGTAGAAGATCCAGATATAGCCAGTGGACTTCAGCACTCAACTGCTTGTATCAGGAATGCTTTTGATTATAAGAAAGAGTTTAACAGTAGCTTAAATAAATACAGGATTTATTTTTATTATATAATAAATCTAGCCATGAGCAACTGTAGCTTGTTATAGCTGGAGTTTCTGTAATTCTCTTGGCCTTTTCTGTTAAGGTTAGAATAATGCAGCTCTAGTCATCACATCCATGTTCAAGGCAAGAGGCAAAGCTAAAGTTTTTCCCAGAAGCCCCCAGCAGACTGTCCTCTACATCTCATTGGCTAGAACTGGATCACATGCTCACCCCTAGCTGCAAGTGGGGGGCTGAAAAAAACTACAGGATAGTCTTGATTGGCTTATAACAGTAATTCGCCTTCCCTGGGGTTGGGCACACTGTTGACCTTAAAAGTTTTAGGATTCTTTTAGAAAAGAAGGGGAAATTGCATATTGATTGGATAAGCCATAAAGGTGGGTCTACCACACACAACACCTACAACAAGAAGCATTATAAAGAAAGTGTAGGATAAGTGCATGTGGGGATATTTATCCCAGTCTACCATTCATAATGCTGTGTTGAATGCTTTTGTAGAAAAATGTTCAACTGTTTTTTTTTTTTTTTTAAAGATGACCGGTAAGGGGATCTTAACCCTTGACTTGGTGTTATCAGCACCACGCTCTCCCAAGTGAGCCAACCGGCCATCCCTATATAGGGATCCGAACCTGTGGCCTTGGTGTTATTAGCACCATACTCTCCCAAGTGAGCCATGGGCCAGCCCCGAAAAATGTTCAACTGTTGACTTCGATTCCTTCAAACGCTGATTATTGTGAATGCATTTCTTCTAAGTCAACTGTATTCCTTCCTTTGCCCTTTTTTACTTGTCTCAACTTCTCACCCCAGGGAATAAATGCTGTGAAAGTGTTTTTTTCTGCCTCAAAATGTCCTACGAACTTGTCAGTCTGAATTTCTTATTTTTTATTCCTCTGTGGTCTTTCCACTAACTGACTGACTCTTATTGCCCTCTGTCTCAATCCTCTTTGCATCCATCCTGCCTTACAGATGCATGTTATGTATACCAGCTAGTTGAAAGACTCAAATTTTACTTCTGGTATTCTACTAACCTTCCCTTTTTCTCTTTCTCTTCCTCTTTTTCCTCTCCTTCTCTTGTTTTCCCTCCTCTCCGTTGCTGCTGCAGAGCGTCTCTACAGCCAACTTGAGCGAAACCGCCTGCTTTCTAATGAGCTGAAGCTAACGCTGCATGATCTGTGTGACTGATGGGCAGGGCTCACTGATGCCCATTAAACCGAGCTTACTGCTTACACCACTGACCTGGACCCCAGCAAAAAGCTGATTGTCTTTTTATTTATTTATTTATTTTTAAAAGGATGACCGGTAAGGGGATCTCAACCCTTGGCCTGGTGTCAGCACCACGCTCAGCCAGTAAGCAAACCGGCCATCCCTATATAGGATCCGAACCCGTGGCCTTGGTGTTATCAGCACCACACTCTACCGAGTGAGCCATGGGCAGGCCTCTGATTGTCTTTTTAAAAGTTGTTATTTTGCTCAAAGCAAATTACTTTTTGATTTGGGTAGTTAGAATATTTTGTTTATTTCCTAACAGCAATGTAAAGTTGGAACAGTTAATGCTGCATTTCTGTCCCTTTATAAGAGATTATGGGTGATGAAAGGAGGAGCCTGAGAGATTATAGTGAGAAACTTGGGAGAGTTTTTCGTTTTCCACCCTGATTTTCTGCTCTTTCACTTGTGCACTGACTGTAGGATATGTTCCCTTGCATGGGTGTTTTCTAACAATAAAAGGACTGACTTGACAAGATGTTGTAATTGCTTCATCTGCAGGCCCAGGGATGGGTCCTTCTGACTGGGTGGAAAAAAAAAGGGAAAGAAAAGGGTGTGGGATATGAATATGGGTCTGTGTTGCTATCACTTTCTCTGAGTTGAAGATTTGAGTATTTTCCTCACCTTCCTATAGTCATCAGAGTGGTTTCCTTGCTAGGCAGATTAGATTCTCTTTGTTCAGCTGCTAGTTTTCTTCCTGACATTTTCCTTCTTGTTTCCTTTTCCTGGTTTTTATGTTTAGTTGCAAATAACTCTGTTACAGGCTAGTTATGGACAATACCTGTGCAAAAATCTCAATTAAGGTTTTGCTTATATGAATGGGTGGTATTCTTGGCTTTATTTTCTTTACAGATTCTTTCACTTAGTTATGAGGGCTCTTTTATTTATCCTACCAATTATTCCTTTCCCCTCTATTTTTGGAAAAAGCGTGTGACGCATGAGGATCTTCCTATACTCTTTTCAAGCTGAGATTCTTATGTTTCTCCTGGTAGAAATATGCCCATTCATGTTTGCAGTGGTCAAACTCCAGTGAGCCATTTCAAGTAGGTACTGTTCTCTGAGCAAAGTTTAGAAGAGTGGATGGCTAATGCTTAAGGCCTGCTCCTTCAGTGACTGAAAGCTGAAAGCCTTGGTTGGGTGTGAGAGGGAGAGGAAACTGCTGATAAGATCCCCAGCTCCCTCCTCCAGGAAGTATAGCAACACCTGCAACTTCAGTAGGCAAGCCAGAGGCCCTGCAAAACCTAGTGATGCAATAGCTCACTTTTGTGGCCGAGAAGGTAGCTGCTTTTTTAGTCTGCAGTTTCCTTGCAACAGGAGCAAGTCTCAGAGAGTGGGCAGACCCTAAAATTTACTTCTAGTTTTTGTAACTTCTCTCCTTTACCTCTGTTAGATAAACTGAAATGCATCAAAGAGGAGCACCTCTGCACACAAAGGATGCTGGACCAGACTCTGCTTGACCTGAATGAGATGTAGAGCACCCCAGTCCCTCCCTGCTGCTGCTCCTCCCTCTGACCCCAACTCTGCCTGAGGCCAGCCTGCCGGAAGCTGACCTTTAAACTGAGGGCTGATCTTTAACTGGAAGGCTGCTTTCTCCTTTCACTTCCCCCTCCACCCTCTACACTCCCCTCCCCACCCCCCATGTCTTTTTTCACCACTGTCTCTGCTTCTTCTCAGAGATTCCAGCTGGGCTAGAGGCTTGAGCACCTTTGGGAACAACATTTAAGGGAATGTGAGCACAATGCAAAGTGTCTTTAAAAGCATGTTGTAATGTACACATTTTGTAATTACCTTTTTTGTTGTTGTTGTAGCAACCATATGTAAAACATTCCAAATAATTCCACAGTTCTTAAGCAGCAATCTAATCCCTTTTTCACTTTTGGAAGGCAACTTTTCAGCTTAATGCATATTGCCCTGTCCATAGAGGCGGGAAGGAGGTGTATGGGCCTGTCTTACTGAGAGCCAAACAGAGCCCAGGGAAAGACTCCACTCTGGGAAACCTCATTGCTCTTTACAAAGTACCAGCCAAACCAGAAAGGGTATTCAAGGAGGTGTTAGCCAAAACAAAAACAAAAAACATGCTGTTCAGGTTTTCAGCTTTAAGCTATTTTTGAACAACTTTTTTTTTTCCTGACAGAAGTTACCAAATTATGATGGTAAGACCTCTGAGACCAAATTTTTGTCCCATCTCTACCCCCTTCCCAGCTGCTCCACAGAATGGATCATGTGCCCCGTGTGTTGAGGTGACCACTTAATTGCTCTCCTGCCTCCTTGAAAGATAGAAAGAAAATTATGTTTTTGCCACTGATTTAGTCATATGAAACTCATCTTATCACCCTTTTCTGGGTCTGAAGCTGCTGTCTTTAAAAGTGCCATCTCGTGCTTTGTATCAGTGCTGGAGAAATCTTGAATAGCTTATGTACAAAACTTTAAAATTTTTATGTTATTTTGAAACTTTGCTTCTTTGGGGTTGGGGTACCCTGGCCACACCATCTGGCTGGCAGTGTGCTGATCTTTAAAGTTTCTTTCCCTACCCAATCCCCACTTTTTGGTAATGTTTCTGTGAAGTCTGTTAGGTGCACATCCTGCAGCTTACTGGCTTAAAATGTACTCTCCTTTGGTGTGGTCTCTTTGGGGCCAATTGGGAGAAAGAAAAACCAATAGTGCAACTGTTTTGATACTGAGTATTGACAACTGTCTTTTTGAAATAAAGAACCAGTCCCTCCAACCTTCAGACCTACTTGACTTATTTATTAAACCAAATGTGCTTTCTCCACAGGAGCTAAGAGGTTTGGGTTAAAAATCAGATCTTTGTGGGTAGTAACAACAGGATTTAATGTAGAACACAGTCTTTGTCAGCAGACCAAAACTGGATTCAAAACTCAGCTCTGAAGTTCCTATTGTATGTCCTGATTTAAATAATTTAGTTTCATCATCTGTAAAATGGAGATAATAGGTACTGTCAGGGTAAATGTGAAAATTAGAAATAATTAAGTAGCAGGACTTTTATAGGCTACTTAATTTAACACTGGCATCTTCAAGCTGAACTATACATTTTCCTTTACAACTATATTCTTCCTTATAAATTATGGATTTATTGTGCTCCTTAACTTTAAACAATATATGGAAAAAACAAAATATATGCTGATCACATACTCCTATAAATGTGTGGTTTTAATAAACTGTCCTGAGACAGTCTTTGAGTCAATATTCTGTTGGATACTTGAAGAAAAAAGAATTTCACAAGAAGTGCTCTCAGTATTTGCTTATAGACAGGCTGTATGAAGGAATAGTGTTCAAAGCTGCCTTTTAGACTGTGTTCTGGCATTTCCTGTACTCTGGTCGTGAGGCCGGACATAGGACTTCCTAGTAAAACTACATGGCTCCCTTGACAAAATCCAACTGTTTATACTAGAGACTGGAATTTTTTCTGTTTATACGCATGGACCAACGCTGATGGAAATTATTGCAAAAAAAATTTTGTGTGTGTGTCCAGGAGCCAAACACACAGTTGGCAATGGAAGGAGAAATTAAACTGGAATAAATTAGTTGGGCTTTTTTTCCCCCTATTTTCCTGCTTCTTGTTACTACTAAAAAGATCTGCCATCCAATATTTAGGAAAGTAGCCCTTTAAGTGGTGTTTTAGTCCGTTTTGTGTTGCTATAGCAGAAATACCTGAGACCCGGTAATTTATAAAGGAAAGGTTTATTTGGCTTAAGATTCTGGAACAGCTGCGTCTGGCGCAGGCCTCAGGCTGCTTCTACTCCTGGCGGAAAAGCAGCAAGCAGCTGGTGGATACAAGCAGATCACATGGCGAAAGGAAGCGCAAGAGGGAGAAGGTGCCAGGGTCTTTTTAAGCAACGAGCTCTTGCCGGAACTAATAGAGGGAGAACTCACTCATTAATCCCCTCTCCCCCAGGGAGAGCATTAATCCATTCATGAGGGATCCGCCCCCATGACTCAATCAGTTTCCAACACTGCCACATTGGAGATCAAATTTCCACGAGTTTTGGAGGGGACAACACATCCAAACTCCATCAAGCGGGTAGCTGGGTTTGTGCCTAAAGTTTTCATAAGGGCATGCCGAAGAACTTCTTCATAAAAATTTCCCACAGTTCCGAGCAAGAAGTGGGTCCCAGCGCCTGCTGACGTCACGCCTGCGGATTGGCTGGAGTTGGGGCTGAGGGCGCGGCTGTACTTGAGCGGGAGCCTGAGACGCAGCAGTCGCCATGACTGGCTCTGAGGCACCAGCTCCCGAAGGTTTCGGTATCTTTTTCTCCTTCCCTCTGCACCGCCTCTGGTTGCTGCTTCTGTTTTCGCTTGGGACCCTGGCCAACAAACTTAACGTGCCACAGGTGTTGCTACCCTTCGGCAGGGAGCCAGGCCGGGTGTCCTTCCTGCTGGAGGCTCAGCGGGGCTGCTACACTTGGTGAGGGGTTGAGGGTCACAAGCATATGCACCCACACACTATCCAGTAAGGATGAGAGGGGTTCCCTCTGTAATACCCCACGGGACTGCTGTGTGGTCACTGGGTGCGAGGGAGCCTATTCTGTAAGGGAGGAGGGTATGGTGTAATTGGGGGTGGAGGGGCCAGACACTCCGGAGGTGGCGGGTCCTACTCATGTGGGATGACGTCAGATTGTGTGAGGGTCCTTATGTGAGAAATTTTGGGGATGTGAGACTGGCCTTTTCGTCGTGTGTGCTGGGAGGGGTTAGCCGCTGTGTGAGCAGCTTTCAGGGCACAGGGAAGCCCTGTGTTGGAGGCCTCAGGTATTGATGGTGCCCAGTGTGAGGGACTTAGTGTAAACAGCTAGGGTGAGAGGGATTTCCCAAGATCTGAGGAGATTTCTTTAGGAGCAGAAGGACTTGAGGTGTGAGGGTCTCCCCTAATTAAATCAGGCGAGCTAATCAACGTGAGGGAGTCCTAAATACAACAGCTAATTTTTGAGTACTTAACAAAGCATTTTGTACATATAATGTATTCACTTTTTACAGTCTTATAGAGTACTATTACTCCCATTTTATAGATGAGGAAACTGGGACCCAGAGACCCTGAAATGTAAGCTTCTTGGGATGTGAGGATTCATTTTAGGTGGAGATGAGATCTGCCTGTAATATAAACGTTTGCCCACCTTATGTAAGGGTACCCACTTAAAGTGTGAGGGCAAGGGGTACTGAATTCTGGGATAACGACTGCCTGACAGAAGATGGAAAGACATGATTTTTCTGGTGAGAGAGCTCCGTGATAGGTTATGTGGTTACCTAAGGTGTGAGGAAACCTAATTGTGGTGAGCTCCAAGATGCCAGAGCTTTCATCCTAAATGGAGTAGATTTCCCTTAAGAGAAGCAATGACGTTTGTTCAGAGTGTGATAAATTACCTATTTTTAGAGGAAGTGTAAGGGAATTGGGCTTGTAAGATGATCCAGTGTTATGCATTTTCTCACGGAGAGTGATGCAAGGAATCTTTCTAGCAGTGAAAGCCATTCCTTCCATCCATTTTTCTGGGAGTGGGGGTGGGGAGGTGGGGGCAACCGGCCAGGACAGGGATCGAATCTTTGTACACATGGTGTTATCAGTACCATGCTCTAACTATTGAGTAACCAGCCAGTTCCCATCTAAAAATATTAACATATTAACGGGTTTTTTTTCATATTTTGAGTTGGACTCACACCTCATAATTTACGTGACTTTTCCATCTTAGATACCCAGTTTCTAGGATTGTAGGAAACTCATTACTCAGAGTACAAGAAAGTCTCATCTTTCATTACTGGAAACACAAAATCAATCCTATTTTTACATACTGAAGGAGAATGGAACATTAATCTTATTTTAAATATTGAGGGAGGAATATAACACTAATGAGACTTTGCACAAGAAGTCATTGGGAAAAGGTTCTGAGTGAGCAGTCTTTCCCACTTTAATTCTTGTGTCCCTAAGCAATGTTCCTACTTTAAAGAGTGTCATTTAGGTATACTTGGTATTATGTAACATAGAAAAAGTATAGGAATGTTTGTTCCACCAAAGGTTAACTTTAACCCACATATTTCATACTCTTAAGTATTTTGTTCTGGCAGGCATTCCACCCATCATGATGCAGTTACCGTTGAGCCTTTATATGAAAATGGTACCTTGTGTTCCCAAAGAGCTGTACTTATTGCTGAATCTACCCAACCCATACGCCTCAGCAGTATTATTCTTGCTCGAGAAATAGGTATGTTGAGAACAATGGCACTATATAACACTTCCTCTGGGGTAGAATAATCTGATATATTATATAGATGGTGAACACAAATGGTGTTGGCTTCAAATAATAAGTGGTAGAAAAAAGGGTTCCTGCAGTATAAACCCTAATTGTGGCAGCCTATTCTGACTTTTTTGGTTTTGTATATTCAGCACTTGGTATGCTGTCAGATACCATGGAAACTCTGGTTGTTTGAATCAATGAAAGACAAAAGGAATCATTCATCTGGCACTAATTTAGGTGTTGAGGTCTGAGGTTGATCTCAAGTGGGACAAGTCTCAAGTGGGGCAAGTTGGTCTCAAGTATAAAGACTAATACTTCTCCAAGTATGGGCTGTAAACATATATCATCAGCATCACCTACATCACATAGGACTGTGTTAGAAATGTAAATTCTCAGGCTCAATCTCCAATTTTCTGCATCAGAGTCTCTGGGCTGGGCCCAGGGTTCTGTGTTTTAACAAGCTCTCCAAGTGATTCTTATACATACTATAGTTTGAGCAGCACTATACTAGTCTATTTTAGTCTAGAGCAGCTCAAGAAATGCTATTTGTATTCGAATCAGAGCAGGGGTCTTTGTATCTCTGACTTTCTGGCACTTCATTGCCTTATTGATAGGTCAGAAATATATGTGTGGCTTTTAAATATTTTGTTTGTTTGGTGTCTGGCTGGTACAGGGATCCAACCCCCGACCTTGGTGTTATTAGCATCATGCTGAGCTAACCGGCCAGCCCTAAATATTTCAATAAGTGATTTATCTATAATATGTTATTAAAGAGAAGTTTAGGATTTTTTTTTTTTTTTTTTTAAAGATGACCGGTAAGGGGATCTTAACCCTTGACTTAGTGTTGTCAGCACCACGCTCAGCCAGTGAGCGAACCGGCCATCCCTATGTGGGATCTGAACCCGGGGCCTTGGTGTTATCAGCACCGCACTCTACCGAGTGAGCCACGGGCCGGCCCCAGGATGTTTGTTATACTATTTTTAATTGAAGATGTTATTATAAAGCACCCCATTATTTTACGTATCCCTAAGAAAGAAAAACATTGCTCATTAAACTATGTTTTTTATCACTTGGAATTTTTACTTTATACCTACTGAAAGAACTTTTTAATTTATAAAATATAAGTAAAATAAACAGCTTAAGATATTCCTAAAACTGCCTTACATTTCTGCCTCATCTGAATCACTTTTTGACTGGGAATCATCAATGTCTGTGTTTATCCCCATAACATCTTCCTTTGTGCCATTAAAAGTATTAGTGATACAGTATTAAAAGAACATTTTTTAAAAAACACCTAAAACCTACTCTTAAGTTGATAGAACTAAGTTGTTTTTGTTTCCAGCTTTAAATGGGTTCCTAGCACATCTGAGTCACCACCTTTCCCATTCCCTGCTCTTAAACTTTTGGTTCCTGGTGATAAGAGTCCTGTACTATTATCTACCATATTTTCTTCCAATTACTAATTCCTACTCTACAAATTTTGGTGC